TTTTTTTTTTTTTTTTTTTTTTTTTTTTTGTCTTGCTGTATTTGGTTTGCACTAAGTTCTTTTTTTTTTTTCTCCCGCTCGTCTCCTTCAGACATCCGTTGTTCCCCCTGCTGGCTCTGCTGTTTGAGAAATGTGAACAGGCCACGCAGGGATCTGAATGCATCACGTCGGCCAGCTTCGACGTAGACATTGAAAACTTTGTTCACCAGCAAGAACGAGAACACAAGCCTTTCTTCAGCGAGGATCCGGAGCTCGACAACTTGGTGGGTCAATGACCGAGGCAGGAAAACACTGAGTGCATAAAAGGTTGGGAGGTCTCTTGTCCACGTCCCTCTTCGGGTGTCCCCACAGATTTGCTGCCTGGGCTAAGCGTCGGGCTAATTTCTGACATCTCCCCCCTCCCCCCCCCCCCCCCCACACACACACACACACACATTCTGCTTGCAATAGCCATGAAGAATTACAAATAAAAAGAGGATGCCTGCTGATCAAGAGAAATTGGATTTTGAATGGTCAGCCTTGTCATCACAGTACAGGAGGGCATGCTGACAAGTGCTGAACAGTCAATTAACCCTGCATCTGTGTGTTTTATGAGCCACTGGGTGTCAGCACCCTTCCCAGAGGGCACTAACTCTGCCACAGGGCAGTGATGCCACTCTGGGCCCTGCTGGCTGCCACAGGTACTTGAGTTAACGGTCCCTTGATTAAGGGAGGGCAGTTTCATTAGCTCATTTATCTTCACCTTGGCAAAGCACTTTTCTGACCATTCTGTTGACCTTCAGTGGTGACTTTAGAGCAGAGTTTCACAGCGTGCCACAAGCGGCCAAAGATGCCAAAATGCAGAGGTACTGGCAGGATGTTCCCTTTCATTTGAATACAATTTAATGGGTGTGTCTGTTTTGATATTTTTTCTGATACTTTTATAACTCTCTTATGTCCAATTTGTATTAAATTTAAGTGCACTACTAGTAGCACAGTTGTTGTAGTAATCTGGATTAAAAAACTGTATTTAATTCTGAAAAGGTCAGATTCATATGCAGTTAACTCGTCCCGAATCATTTCCCTCAATCTAACACATTCAGATTCTAATTCAGTTACAACTTAAAACAGTCAACTTCAGTGTAAATATGGATATATTTAGCTTAAAATAATGTTAGAAGTCACCCGTTTAAGGAAATCAGTACCATACCTACAAGTTTATTTGGCCAATATTATGGAATCGCTCAGGCTGAATAGGTAACTTTGCCTAGGCTCTAAGTAGGCAAAGGGTTGGCTCAGACTCAAATGCCCAAACCCATTTGATCACACTATGGAGGTCCTAGCCAGTAGGTCCACCAAGGACTGACTGAGAGTTTCAAAGATCCTCTTTTTCTCTAATTCGGTGGGCACTGCACTCCAGAACGTGGTGCAAAGAATTTGTGCCGACCGCAGACTTAACATGCACAAAAGTGACGTGGTTTGGCGTGTGCCTGTGTGTACTCTTAGATGGTGAAGGCTATCCAGGTATTACGGATCCACCTACTGGAGCTGGAGAAGGTCAATGAGCTCTGTAAGGACTTCTGCAATCGCTACATCACCTGCCTCAAGACCAAAATGCACAGCGACAACCTTTTGCGCAACGACCTCGGAGGGCCCTACTCTCCATCCCACACCAGTCTCAGCATGCAGCAGGTGAGTCTCGGCCAAACCTCGGAGCAGAGCTGTTTCCTCTGGGCATTCCACCAGGTATGCTTTGCTCTGTGCTTTGCCCCGCACCACACTTGCTCACCATCATCTCCTTCTGCGATCCCCCCCAGGAACTAATTCAGACCTCCTCTCCATCCATGACCTCTGTCTCCAGTTCTGTTAACTCTTCAGGGATTGTGGTGCCCGCCGGAGGTCTGCAGCAAAGCAACGTCGCCATGACCACCATCAACTCACAAGTGGTATCAGGTTAGGATGTGATTGCACACCTGTGGCACAAACTTGACAGAGTTGACTTGAGATCAAGAATCGGAGGTTTGCCGAACTGCAAGTTAAAATGCGGAGGCCGGTTTTCATTTATGCCAAGGTTTGAACCTGCAAAAAACATTTCACCATGGTATTGTCTGATCACAGATTACTTCACTATTCCCATGTTAACTAAGAAACTAATTTGACTGTTTGGAAATGTTTCCATCTGCAAAAATCAGAACAGTACTTGCGTACAGTATTGTGAAAAATACTGATAAAAAAATTATCCCGCACCCCAACCAACAAATTTGTTTCTGTTTTTTTTGTTTTTGTTTTTGTTTTTTTGCTTTTTTGTCACAATAGAATCTCTGTCCCCTGGAAACATTCTAGTGGCTGATATATATATATATATATATATATATATATATATATATATATATATATATATATATATATATATATATATATATGATTTTAAGAACCTTTTGCTATCCAGTTATTCATCAGTTAATCCAAAAATAGTGTTGATGTTATATCAGGTTAAAGGGCTGATCTTTTCACAGGAAGATTTCTTTCTTGTTCTTATTTTCTGCGGCAGATGAGTCCTTTGGTACAAATGATCAAGAGTTCACTAAAGGCATGCTGTTATATGCTCTAATATGGTTATGATATAATAATAGTAATTAACATGTTTGTCTCTTTGCAGCTTTTATTGTTGCAAAAAAGGCTTCAGTTCTTAATAAATGAAAAATCTGTAGAACTTTTTATCTGATTAATCGTCACAGTGATTGACAGAAGAATTAATTACTAAAATAATCATTAGCTGCAGCCTGCTATAACAACAAAGAATGTTCACTTTGCTCTTTTCTCTCTGCAAAGGAAAATCCTGTTAAAAGGTGATGCGTTCTTGACCTCCTCAGTATGGGCTCTAATAGATTTTTCAGGAAGTACTCCACATGCCCCTCCCTCTAGTTGGGAGAGCATTATCGATGTGTCAGAAGAGTAAAACGTATCCGAAGCGATGCTCCGTTGCCACATGTGCGCAAAGCCGCGTGGAACGATCCGAAGACGACTTGTTTGGAATGAATTAAGTCTGACACGCAAGCGGCTGCCGTAACCGCGCATACAAATCGATACGATCAAGTACATACCGTCTTCTAATGAGAAGCAATCAGCGGAACTGGCATGCCTTTTATTGCGGCCATAACTTTTATGTCTGTGTATGCTCGAGCGGGAGCTTGGCTTGCTGCTTGGCTCTTATAATGTCAGGCTTGTACAGTGAAATGTTAATCTTGCCCTCTGGAAATCCCTTTTAACCCAAAATAAATCAATGTGTTCGCCTTTGATCACTGCACACTGTAGAGCTCAAACAGACTGTGATAAGAGTCTCTTGATCAAGGCTAATTAAGCCAGGAGCAAAAAAAAAAAAAAAAGCAGAAAGAAAAAAAAAAACAAGACACTCCACCTCCTTCTTGTTTTGTCAGGGTTAAAGGACATTACACCACCTTGGATTTAATCACTTGCTTTATTTATTTGCTGTGTTTTTTTTTTTTGTTTTTTGATTGCGAGACCGACAAGCAGTTAATAAGCCTCCGGTGGTGGCGCGTGATGGGGGCTTCCAGTAGCTGTTGAGGCCACTTGATACTCACGGTGGCAAATTATCCCCTCAGGTGGAACCTTGTACCAGCCGGTTGCCATGGTGACATCGCAAGGGCAAGTGTTAACGCAGGCACTACCTCCAGGAACCATCCAGATTCAGAACTCGCAGGTAATGCCGTGTACACGGCGCGGTGCTTCGTCAAGCCTCCCACTGTTTTACAGTTTGACTTTTCAACATGTCTCTTTATGTTTCACTGAACTCCCCTCCCCTCCCCCCCCCCCCCCCCCCCCCCCCCCACCCCCCCACCCGCCCGCTTTGTTCCCTTTCATTGTCTCTACCTGAATGTGCCCCCTGCTGCCAAACGAATGGAAATTGTTTGTTCTTCCTGATGTTTATCAGGCAGGATCATAAAAGACATTACGATCCTGTCAGGACTCATGGCTGAAAAGTCTAAGTGTGGACACTGTGGAAGATATGCACATGTTGCAAAGGTATCACTTTAGCAGCTACTGTAGATGTATAGAAGAGTTTATTACAGAACATGTAGGGCCCGACATGTCCTTGCATATGCAACCTTTAGCATCACAGACTAAATGGTAAGTGGAATTGATTTATAAAGCACCTTTCCGGTGATGCTAACCAATAATAATTCTATTATAAAATTTTACCAAGTTTTAAAAAAACTTTAGTTGTTTCACCAGACTTGGGCTACTGGGTGAATCCTTCCTGACTGTATTCAGAGGTGGTGGGTCTCGATCAGCATGCCCAATTAAACTTTTTCACAGGATGTCGTCTTGCTTTATTGGGGAAAAGAGGGGCTTTGGTGTGACAGAGCAACACGACGTAGTTCGTACATGACAAGTGGGAGGAAAATAATGAGTTGTGGGACTCTATTAACATTTTGAATTGAGGTCAGTTCACGGTTCTGTAATTAGTGGCAATTGGTTGCATTTTAATGGAAAAACACACGTCGTGTCGAGGATACAGCAAACATTTGCAAAAATAGGTTTTGGTCATATTATTCCTTTTTTGGTGAGATTCAAAGCGGTGAGAAGAACATTGGACGTCACCGTGGAAACGTGGGTGGCAGCATCATGGTGTGGTGAAGCTTTTTCTCAGGATGGACGTGGAAGCTGGGTCAAACTGACGAAAAGATGGGTAATGCTACAAAGTATCGACTCAGGGGGGGCTACAGAGGCCTGCTACACTTTTCTGAGTTTTATTTATTTATTCATTTAAATTCTGCTTCTCAAATAGAAGCTACTTTGTTGTTCTGTGACCTAAAATCCCAGCAGAATCCATGAAATGCGGAAAACATCAAGAGGTAGGCAAGGAACGGTACTCCAAGGAGTTTCTGAAACAAGTTTAATTGTACATCCACTTCCGAGAATGCTTGCGTTGTTCACAAAAGAGAATTCTGATTATAGAGTTAGCGACGTCAAATGCATCACAGAGTTACCTGTGTCGATGCATTAAAACCTGGAGCAGCGGTGTTGTATCTGCCGCAGTGCTGACTTAGATTTTCACACAGGTAATTCTGTGCTTGACAGTTATAGAAGAGCCCACTGGGTAACATCAGCCCTGCCAAAGCAGAGCGCTACATTTGTGCTGGGAATTGAACACCGCCCCACAGCTACTTTGCAGACAAGCCCCGGGTAATCACACTCTCGAGCTCAGTGCCGCCAATTAACTCGGCCTCCCTTTTGCCCTGGAACGCATACATACCCTGGGCTAGGGAGGTTATCCAAGTGAAGCCCATCTGCAACTGTAATGAGTCTTGTTTTGTGTCACGACTGTAAATGCGACGTGAAGTTGTACTCATTTGTAATATATAAGTTCCCATATAATGCGTTGCACCGCCGGAGCACACGGATGATTGTTTAAGTTTGGACTTCACACACTTCCTAAGGCGCATATCAGTCCAGTTTAGCTTTTATTTGTCGTGGATTTTATCCTGGTTGCCGATAAATGTCAAGTATTCATAATGCCTAGAATTTACAATATTAGGAAGCGTGCTGGGTTTTATTAATACTTCAATACAGTTCAGTGTAGTTAACCAACATGACGTAAAGTTCCAACATGGCATTTTATAAACAGGGAGAATCCAGTTGGATCCAAATCCAGTTCAAATCAGTTCACATGTGACCCAGTTACATACCCTGCAGTTTGATTATAATGAAAATAAATCAGTTGATCCCATGAAGCCAGTTAGTCAAAAGTCGTCCTCGGTCATCCTATCGAGTCATTTTTAGGAGGACAAAGCTTCCATCCTGTCTGATGGAAAACAGACAGGTTCATAAAGTCTCAAGCAGCGACAGCTCCCATAACTCTGCGCGTGACAGAGGTGTACTTAAACCCATAATGGAACAGGCATTCCTTCTGGGGAGATTGAAAAAAAAAAACAAAGAACAAACACATATGGCAAGGTAATAGCGACACAAATGCCAAACAATGCAGGAATTGAGAGTGGAAGGAAAAAAACAACAGAGGGCAAGTATTAAGGAGTCTGAAAATTGAAAGATCAACCTCAGATTGCAGTAGAACGTCCAATGAATCTGTCTTGCTGAGCTGCGGTCAGATGGGTTCTGCACCGCTGAGAGGTCACTCAGAGAGGAAGAAGCAACAAAAATAAAACTAGATTACAGATTCAGATGAGCTAAAAGACAAGGACAACACTTTTTGTAGACATGTCCTGTGGTTCTATGACGCTAAAGTTTAAGGCAACGACCATTGTTATGTTGGGAGGAAGAGGGCGAAAGCTTGTCCCTGATGTACTTCACAAAATAAATGGCATAATGATGACAGAAGAGTATGTAGAAATAACTCTGGTAACCCTAATCAACCTAAATGAGAAAAACCTAATGTTAAAGTCAGAAACTGAGCAGAAGGTTATGTTGTTTTGTTTTTTTAACACTGGATGTAAACATGTGGTTTCAAGTGTAAATGTTGGTACCAACACTTAAGACATTGAAATGCATGATGTGATTTTGCTTCATCCACAATAAGCTCAGTCTCACAGAAACACACACCGTCCATATTTACGCTACATGCTGCCAAAGGCTGGAACGGCCCTAAGACCGTTTCTTTGTCTTGCGTTCACACTCCAGATAAAACCTTCTGAATAATCATTTCTCTCCAACAGGCTTTAGGTCAGCAACTGTGAGCAAAGCAAGTCAAACACGTTCTGCTTCCCCACCAGTAGTAAACTAAATCAGCGCCGTGCTGTGAAATTCAAACTTGGGGCCTGACCCTGGGCTCTTTTAACTCTTAATGTAAGACACCGAGAAGACTACAGACTCGTAGGCTCCTCTGCATTTTTATATTTTAAGTATCATTACTCAAATTCAGTTACCATGGTGACACTTTAGAAGGTGTTTCTGCCCTTGCTGCTGAAAAAAGGGAAGGTAATTGGTAGTCTCCCTTTGTTTCCGTGGCAACAATAACTAAGCCTAACCATTTTTTTTTTTTTTTTGCCTTCCCCCCCCTTTATGCTCTCTCCTCCCTTCTTGCCTTTTGCAAAGGTAAATGTGGACTTGTCATCTCTTTTGGACAGTGAAGACAAGAAGTCAAAGAACAAGAGAGGGGTCCTGCCCAAACACGCCACCAACATCATGCGTTCCTGGCTCTTCCAGCATCTCATGGTGAGCGTTAGCATCAGCATCCATCAGTGCTGATCCACTGTTTTGAAGTGGCTGCTGTAGAATCAGAAGAGGCGAGGATCGCATAAAGTACTTCGAACTGCCTCGTCGCAGAAACGTGCTGTACAAATAAACTTGACGGTGAATAGTCAAGCGTGAAACGGGGACAGGGAAGTAGAATTATTTGTTTCAACAGAAGTCGACCGTCATTGACAAGTTAAACACTCACATGAAACCTGGAGGAAAAACTGAGATTGTGCGTCCTCCCTCCTTTTTCCAGCATCCGTACCCAACAGAAGACGAGAAGAGGCAGATTGCTGCACAAACAAGTCTCACCCTCTTGCAAGTGAACAACTGGTAAGCTGCTGCAACCCTAACAGCTCCTAATTAGATCTGCACTGAAGGGTGAAAGTCTTCATACAGAGAGGCAGCACTGGGCACATGGGCAACTCCTGAAACTATAGACTCAAGACACTTGAGCTTCAGATTATTTTTTGCTACAGCTTTGCTGCCATCTGCTGGCCGCAAATGTCAGATGCACCAGAAATTAAATACTTCCCAAAGTGTCAAATACGAACACAAACAGTTTTACCTTCTGGAGAATACCTTTTAGATATTGGCTATTGGCAGTTACATCACCTAAGAAATAATTTAGTCAAATTTAGGATCTAAAAGTATTGTTCCTTTTTTTCCCTTTCTTTTTCTGTTGCTATTTCCTCATTCTTTCCTGTAGCATGTTGTCAATAGACTCACCTGTTTTAAAGCAGATAATCACCACCATAGTATATAAGCCACAGGGTTTTTATTCACTCATTACCAGTTCCTGTTACTGTCTTTCTTGATAGTTTTCCAATTTTTGGTGGTGGAGGAGGTCCTTTTACTGTTTTTGGGTATTTTACCACTAAACACACACACACACACACACACACACACACACAAAATAAAACATAGATAATAAAGAGCACAATGAAACACCTTGTACATACAGGTTGTCTTGGTCATGGGATACAACATGACAACTAAGAAAAACTCATGTCTGCCTCTTTAAGAATTATTAAAGAAATTAGCATTTGTTAGCTTTTATTTAGACTCTATAAGTAGCAACTGTGAGGAACCATGCAACAACTGGAGTTTGCAAGGTTTACTACTTTGGAGCATCCAGGTGGATATTAGCACAATGCGATGGGGCAGATACATCAGCACTAACCATAGAGAAGGAATTTTTGTTACGTATGATCTTTCTGAGAAGGTTTGCACAATCATCAAAGTCCATACGTTCAGGAGATTCTCACTATGGACTCAAGCAGGTTATTTATAATTGAGAGGCATTCAAGAAAATCTTCTAAAAGTGTATGTCTTACCAAGCTTTAGACAGGTTAGATTGTCTGAGAAATTCCAAGAAACCCAGAAAATGCATCTGAAAGAACAGGAAAGACTTCCGGACCATTTTCCTCAATATCTTTTGTTGGAAATCACACACAAACAGCCGCTCACGTCAAAAAGACTGAGCAAGTCTGGAATGTTTGGATGGGTTGATAAGAGAACAAAAAGAAGATATGAGTACTATATCCACATTGCTGCCTCAATTATTCACACGCATAAGAAAAATTAAACAATTAAAACAATTTTAACACAATGATATAAATTCAAGTTATACTGTGAAATTACCATTAGCAGTGAGTACAGTTATTCAGTATGATAAAACAATTAACATATTTATTTCTCCCAAAATAAGTGGTGCAAAACTTATTGCTGTGAATTCATTGCCCCACACAAGGTTGAAGCATACAGGGATCTTTTTTTTTTTAAAGTTTTATTGGCCTTTATTTGACAGGAAAGTGAGTAATGAGAGAAGGGGAAGATGTGTGGCAAAGGTCACCAGGCCGGGAATTGAACCTGCAATGACCGCATCAATGATTAAGGCCTCCATATGTGGGTTGTGCTTAATCCCTGCGCCACCTCAGCACAACCCGCATACAGGAATCTTACCATTACTCTTTGCAGAGTTTAATGACATACACTCAAGCCTTTTATGGACAGACTCCCAGCACCTGTGGTTCTCCAACATCCTCAACAGTCGATAATAGGAAGCTTTTCAGTGTATATACAATGTTTTACATCAGACCCACATGGAGTGTTTGGTGCTGACAAGCCCAGTTTTGTCTCCTTTGACAAAACACATTTTTCTCCAATGACGTACAGTAGATAGATATTGTTGGAGGCAGAGGCCTGACATGGGCTATACCACTGGCAGATAGCTGTAGTGGTTGGTATGACCACCTTCTACCAATGGTCAAAGAGGGTAGGTCTGAAGGACTGCAATGAAGCACTGATCAAGGCAGCACATGTCCATGCCTTAAGCACCAGAGTCACCAGGTAAGATCCCATGTGCAGGAAAAGTGAGCCAATGCAATATTTGCACAGAGAACTGTTCTGCAAACCTCAATGTTCTCAAAAATCCAAGTCCTAAAGAAGACTTGTATCCACCAAAATCTCATAGACTGATTGCAGTCGATATCTTTAGACTGTTGTCACCAGAAGTGGTTCATGTGCTTGAATGATTGAATAGTTTTTCCAATAGTTTTTTTGTTTGCTGATCATTACCATCCATGTTGTTAGGTTTTTTTTAAATTTTTCTGTTTTTAAGGTTCATCAATGCCCGGCGCCGGATTCTTCAGCCCATGTTGGATGCCAGTAATCCAGACCCGGCTCCTAAAGCGAAGAAAATGAAGTCCCAGCACCGCCCCACACAGCGCTTCTGGCCAGACTCTATCGTGGCCGGAGTACTACAAACGCACAGATCTCAGACAGTGAACAACTCAGAAAGTAGGCCAACAGTCACACAAAAATCAACATCTTATCCACAAGTCACAGTTTGCATGGACACACATTTTGTTTCATGTCTTTAACATTATTTTACATGCTGCTGCGGTAAAATTTCAAATGAAATGAGGCTGTGTCTTCCTCAGAGGATTTTATGCCGTTTACTTCAGTGGTTCTTGGTAAACACCTGGTAAGCAGGTCGCTCAAAGAGTTTGTTTAGTTTGAGACACAATAGCTGAAGATGTAACAAACGCTGCATTCATCATCAACATGACTGGGGTCCGACTGTCTGGTGGACACACCAAGCCTTCCATACTAGCACATGTAAAAACACCTGAGGTTGCTGTTGATCACAGTTCCTCCACTGCAAGACGACATTAATTTCAGCTAAACTCATTAAAAGCTCTACAAGACAAAAATAAAAAATAGCGAACAAGTGTGCAACACACTCCATTTGTGACACATCCACGTTTTTATCACGAGTAGACGTGAACTTAAATTCTAGCCACTAGATGGCGGTGTTGCCTGGTTTTTGCGAGCTGAGCGGGAGTTTATTTCAAGGGCAAAGCTTGTCATCTTCTTTTTTTTTTTTTTTTTTTTTAAAGAGAGAGAGAGAACCTTCCCCTCAGGAATCAGATGAGCATGTTTTTAAAACTAGTTGGAAGTCTCCTGAGAGCAACTCAGACAAAGACAAAAGAACTCTCCCCAGAGTGCAATATGGATTTAAGCTGCCTGTAATTTATTCTCTGTTATCTCGGCACCGGAGGTGACGCAGGTAAGAGACTGAACGATGCGAGGAAGCAAACTAAACTCCCCCATTAGTTCCATTCCCGACCTGATCTAGTCTTCACCTCATTAGCGTGTCTTCTTCGTGTGTTTTACATGTTTGGATATTAGATATTTTTAGATTCTCACATCACGATGACCCGGATTTAAAAATACAACAGTTCCGTGGTATTTACTCAAACAAACAAACAAACAAAAAACAAGTATTAATTTCTCTATGTTTTTTTTTTTATTTGCTAAAAATACTTCTACTGCTACTAATTAAAAAAATAACATTGACTATTTCAGCTGTGGTGATCATATGTACAATAAAATAGAATAACAATAATGATAATGCTCATCATTCTTTTTATACCTTATATATTCCTTTATTTTAATCCTTATTGATGCTCTCGTAGCCCAAAAAGGGAAAACTTTTTTTCGGCCCAGCATGTGTTTATTTATTTATTTTTTTTTCCTGGACATCTCATTAAAATAAATTGCAGGAAACTGCAGGAGCAGCAATGATAAAATATTTAAGCGTTTTTCTTTTTGCAGTAACTGTGTGGCTAGCTTGTTCCACGCCCAGACTAACTCCGCTGCCCTGTGCCGCAGACCCGCTCAGCATGGACGGCCTCCAGTCGCTGTCCTCGGACTCCGCCACCCTGGCCATGCAGCAGGCCATGCTGGGGGCCGACGACTCCATGGACGGCACGGAGGACGACGAGGACGAGGAGGAGGAGGAGGAAGGCATGGACGAGGAAGAAGAAGAGGAGGAGGAGGAGGAGGAAGGAGAGGAGGAACACGACAGAGGAAGGCAACTGTCCGGCAGGGGAGGGGGACGAAGAGAGCTCAGCATGGACGCAGGAGACGAGCTGGAGTAGCCGCACAGGAAGAGGGGGAGAGGGCAGCGTGAACTTTGACCCCGAGCTGTCAAGCTCAATGCGAGCCCCTTTCGCAGCACGCCGGCCTGGCTCGAACGCCGAACAACTCCTGCTTCTCTAAGGCCACATTGCATCGTCACCGCAGACAAAACGTCCTGATCGTAGACAACAAAGTTTAGCTCGCTGACGGGATTTGTGTTGTTGCATCTTCATCGTCGTACGTCATCATTCAGTGAGCAGCCGGGATGTTTTGGATGGTAGCACATCTTTGGACTTCACAGCTTGGGCTAGTTATGGAAAGGAAACAATCCGTGTTGTTTAATACATTCTGGGATAATTTGAAAAATAAAATAAAATAAAATAAAAAACAGAGAGAATGCTGCACAGAACAATGAGGAGTCGTTTCCATGCATCAAAAATGTTAAACTCTGCACAGGAAGAATTTTTGATGATTTGTGGGAACAGATATTAAACTGAATGTAATATTTTGGCCCCTGAAGTTCCTAAAAAAAAAAAAAAAAGGGCTGCAGAATGTTTTTTGTTTTTTTTTCTTAATCTTGTTTTTACTGACAGGAGGTCGTAGTTTAATTTTAGCAGCAAAACGTGTCATCTTATTTTCTAAAACAGGGGGTGCGGTGGGGGAGGAGAGGAAAAGGTCGACAGGAAGGAGGGAGGCGTTCCCAAACATCTGCAGAAGGGAGTAGCTTCCTCCGCTGCGACACGCGTTTAAACACGACGCCGAGGTTCTCAGGTTGAACAGAGTCTCTTCCACGACCCCCGAATCGACGCTGCAGCGAATCCGCATCTTCAGCATGACGTTTCGAAACTCGCTCAGTTTATAGTTTCTTCTTCTGTGAGCCAAAACAAAAAACAAAACTAAAAAAGACACACACACACACACACACACGGGGGAGGAAAAAAAAACAACAAACAGTTGTTGTACACCGGTGTATACCGACTGCTCATACAGTATGTAAATTGGATTTTTCCCTCTGTTTGCATCCTGATGTTGGGAGGTTTGCATATTTATTCAGTTCTGTTCATGTGTCTGCCTGCGTGTGTGCCCTCCAAGAGTAACTTGAGCAAAGGTGACAGTTTCTGACTCAAAAGAAGTGGCCGACATGTACATACGTACTCCAATCCAGCCGTGGACCCTCGGAAATAGCGGCCTGTGTATTTTTTAATCGCCTTGCCGGATTCATCGCACTCGTTGCAACAGCAGAAATCCCACGGTGACGGCTGGAAACTTCAGAGCTGAGAGACATTTTTAGCAAAACAAAACAGAGAAGGCGTTTTGAGAAAACTGGGAATCACATGAAATTCTTTGGGGGATTCTTTTTGTCCAGAACACAAACGAAATCAGTCATTTCTAATGTGAAAATGTTTAACACGGAAAAAAAACACACACACACAAAGAAAAAAAAAAACAACAACTCATGCTGTATTGAATGTTCTGATAGTTCATTGTGAAGTACTTTGCTCATTAATATTCTTTTCTTGATCGCCTTTTTTAATGGATCTTCCAGAGCAACTAGGGGAATATTTCTATTTCATTTGTACACTTTGTTGTCAAAATCTATTGTGTTTCAATAGATCAGTTTTAATAATTAAAACATGTAAATCTGATGTACTCATTTTGCATTTCCTGACGTCTTCTATGTTCGGTGCAACACCAGTTTCAAAACCTGCTACAAAGACAAGAACCAAAAGGAACAAAAATAAAACATAATCTTGAGGGTTCACTTGCTTTTCCCTATGTCTGAATTTCCCACAGTGCATTGCCTTACCTCACTTACTTACCTCAGCTCTTTGTCACATGCTTTATATAGCTTCCCACCCACCGGCTCTCCCTCAAACCTGTAATCTAGCGCACAGGAACACACCCACTCATCTGCTCAGCTGGCGCTGCTTTAAAAATGCAGCTTTCTGAAATTTAGCTTCTGCATTCTTTGCTCATGTTTAACATCGCATGTGCCATGCTTAAAAAAAAAAACAACCCAAAAAGGTATTTTTGGTAGTTGCCAGGAGATTCCCTTTATTAACACAAACAGTTTGCCTGGAGAGCAATTAGTGGTGAATTAGTAGTGAATAACTATGAATAATAACTTAGACCAAAATGATCAAGTCGGCGCACCAGGAAAAGAATCCGAATAGTTCAGTCTCGTCGCTCTGAAGAAGCTTATGTTTCAAAATGATCTATGGAGACGGAAGTCCAGCGCTGGTGTTCTCTGAACAGCGAGACGCTGCGCTTGTTCTGCAGAGACATTTTGAGCAAATTAGACCTAAATGAATTACTACCAGTTTAGACCAGTTGACAGATTTTATATGTATTCCAAATATTATCTCACAATCCAAAAGACAGAACTTTCTTTTGAGGAACCAATGCTTTATTAGTATTTGGCTGAATTAGGAAGCAAGTAATAAGGGCCATAAACAATAGAAATGATTTATTAGCATTGCTGTTTTTGGGATGCAGGAGCATTAGCATCTAGACTAGCTGTAGCTTAATAAGCAGGGAAACTCCAGTAAGACGCAGTAAACATAGTTTAGGCGATTAAAAGTTACTCTATCCTCAAATTAAACATTATTACACGATAGGAACCAAGGGCTTGTTTCTGCCCAAGAACAGACAAACTTAACAGACTTTAATCCAAACTGGAATGAACTTTGAACAGCTGAGTCGTTGCCGGCCTTAGCTAGACACAAACCCAGACTCACGTTCCCTCTGACCCGCATTTTACAGGCACTAACCATCCTGTTTTGTTTGACTGTGGGAACGACCAGGGAGAATGTGTGTGATCTCTACACCGCCTGTACAAGTTAAGTTCAAAACCGTTTTAATGAAGTGTAGTAAGCAGTGTCAACAGGAAGCATTCTGTAACAACTTTACCTGTCCGGTCGAATGAACGGGTAAGAAAAACACAGAAACGCTTCCGTTTCTGTACCGTTTCGTAACCGTTTCCGCCGCCTATTAAAAACGTATCACCTGAATTCAAAGAAACGAGGAATCCGAGTCAACTGCCGACTCCGGTTAAAGATTTTCTCCGGTCTGCGAGAGAACACGATCAGAAAAGCCGCCATGAAATGATGATCTTAAAACTTTTTCTCTTTTTTTTTTTTCTAGTGTTTTGGAAAAGAAACTGCTCCAGCTCTTCAGCAGCGCCGACATGTTAGCACAAAGTATCTTTTCAGTCACCAGTGTTCCCTGTACGTCAGACCCCCTCAAACAGAATACGCGCTCCATGTTTTCTCCCGTAACGCGTGCAGTCGGGAACACGCCTGCCTGCACGCCGCGGCGTCTCGGCAGCGGCTCAGAGGCTGAAGAGCAGGGGGGGGAAAAAATAGAATCAGAATGACAGAGGCTGGAAAAGCCACTGGCGAAGGTTCACTTGTTTGAAGTGGGCCACAGCCAGCATGCTTCACAGTCCAACTACAGCAGAGCCACACACACACACACACACACACACACACACACACACACGCACACGCAGAGGCTTGCCTCCAGGCCCACTGTTGAGTACTGGAGGTCTGCTGCTGTCGGTGCCATCTGGGCACATGTACGCTCCCAGATGTCCACTCTGTAATTAGAGCCAGACCCGGCTCGGCCCGGTCCAGCCCAGATCCAACCCCTCATTTACCGAGGCACTCCCTGAATACTTAAGGAGCTTTCCAGCTCCACACGGGCCCTAAGAGGGAGACTCTTTGGCTCCGCAAACAACGGATATCAGGGGGGGGGAAAGACTGGAAAACTAAAAGTAAGGAAGTTAAAAGTTTCATTACTTGTTGAAGCCTTTTTTGTTTGTTTGTTTGTTTGTTGTTGTTTTTCTTTAATTAAAAAAAAAAAAAAAGCCTGCGAGACCCAGTGACATTTCCGTGTTATTGTATCCCATTTTGTTAATAACTAACGACGCGGTGGGAGTGACGTGCTGAAGGTCACGAGCAGGACTTCTTTTTTTTTTTTTTTGTGTGTTATTTATTTATTTATTTTTTTTTTACATGCGCAGCTGAACGCTTCAACCGTCTCCCTGTCCTCCTTTACTGTCCTGAAAAATAAGAGTCTCTGTTATCACCGGGTAGGTGTCCAGAATGTCAATCGCCCAGGCAGCGGCCAAGGCCATGTTATCAGATGCCCTGCTGCAGGACAGCTCTGGGATATACAGGATCAACCACCTGGAACTGGAGCTTCCTCTGGACAAGGTCATCAAGTATGTGTCTGTGGGCCTCCCACTGATGCTGGTCTGCATGGCCTTCGCCCGCGAGATCTCCCTGGGTGAGCAGTTCTGCCTCTAAGCTGTTTTTTCTTTTTTTTGTTGTTGTTGTTGTTTTTTAAAAACACAGTGACAGGACATTTGCTTTGGTTTCCATTTGCTTTTGCCCTTTATCAGACCCTGGCTTTGTGTTCCACTGTGTGTGTGTGTGTGTGTGTTTTATTCTTCTCTTTTGTTTGTTTATTTTGCTCTTTTTAAGTAATATTAGAATTTTCTGCATATTAATTACGTTGTGCTTGTCCTGAACGGCATTGTGCCAGTTCACCCTCAACGGGAACTACTTATAAATTCATTCAGCCCAGAGTAAAATAATAAAGTCATGATCACAGTTCAGCGCAGCTCCCACACACAAATTAGTCCTTTTTCAGTTATTATTATATATAAATATTTATATATTTACACATCACTTTTACAGGATTTTCACCCTGGCCTTTAACAGCTTATTAATTTGTTTAATTCTCTCCTGTTCTTTTGCTCACAGAAATGGCTAAATGAAAAAAAAAAAAAAAAAAAAAAACCCAACCTCGTTTTACAGCTTATATGAAGGGAGAGTTAATTTGAACGTGTTCATGCATGAAGTTGCCCATTTCTTACTCGCTAACTAAATTTAGTCAAACGTTTCAGGAATACTAGAATAAAGATGCAAATGATTGATTTGTTCCAATTAGCCCGACTCAGAATAGTTTCGAATCAACGGAGTTAAAGTCCATGAAACTGAACGCAAACACTGACTGCGAGAGGAACTCTGAACGCGTGGCGTCTCATTCGTGTGAGCTTTCCAAATGGAGCAGCGTCGCTGACTCTTGCTGACTGGGATTTTGGCACAAACTAAAACCGCAATGATCTCCGCCGCAGCGGTTAACGTGAATGTGTTTTTTTTAATTTTTTTTATTTTCAGAAGTAAGTTAAATGACAATCTTTCTCCTGCAAATGGCAGCAGCAGCAAAGATGCAGCAGCCAAACAAAGTTGCTGAAAGAGAAACTCCACTGGGGAGTTGATTGATTTCTCTGCTGTTTCATTTGTCATCTAAAAGGTTTTCAGCCAATCTGAAAAAAAAAAAAAAATAAATAAATTATATATATATATATATATATATATATATATATATATATATATATACAAAATGGAAAATCTCACGACCAGGGTGTCTGGAGTCATTCTAAAAGGAGGGAGAGAGTGAGGATACTGACTCTCATGACTTTGAACAGAACATCTTCCCTTCAGAGCTGGCCTGCAATCAGCCTGATGCTCCTGATGCTAATTACCACAGGGAATGATTGAGAGCCGCGTTTACCGAGACGGGCAAACTGTAATTACAAGGCAAAGTTCTTGTGCGGCGGCTCCTCTCTATTTGAGTCAAATGAGGGGATATGTTGATCAACCAGCAGCGGGTGGGGGCGGGGGGAGGGGTGGTGGTGGTGGTTTGGAGTGTCGGGGCTCATCTCATGGATCCTGGCTGTCTGGCTTGCTCGACTGTCAATTTCACAACAGTGCTTGATTGCTCTGCCGCAGAGAAGTCGGGTTTACTTGCACCTGCACTCTCAGCCAAGAAAGTCTTGTTCGAGGCACAAATGTGGCGGGGATCTGCCAACGTTAATTGGGGATTGGGAGATGGAGGAGCAAGCCTCTGCTCCAGCGCCAAATAGGCAGAGGCTGAAGGATTTTCCAAGATTTCCACTAAAAAGTGGTGATTTGTGCATCTACTTTACGCCAAGGCCGATCTGCTAACTCACGTCTGCCCATGCAGTCACAAGCAAAAGAAAAACGAAAAGTGATTCCCTTCAAGGCGGCATTGTTGGTTCATCTCCTTGAGGGTTAATAACGTTAACTCCTGCCTCTCGTTTTTGGAGCGTTTCACACACGAATCGCCTAGCAACTGTGTGCACGGAGAGTGTCGTCGGGGCAACACTTACAGGGTTACGCCATCCGTGTGGCAGCATTATGGTATTTAATTACTGGCAAAAGCCGAGCACGCGAAAACAGATGCTCCTGCATGTATTACGAGTGCACAGAACCGTGTCTGCAAGCGCAGAACGTCTGCTCTACAAAGACAAGCACAAAGCAGCAGCAAGCCGAAGGAGGACGGGTGCAAGGACCCGCTCAGCGTCTCTCCTCGTGTTCGTCGCGGCTTCGCCGAGGCTTGACGGCCATGTTGACATTTGAGACAATGGCTGACGTCTCCTCTCGCGACTGCGTAACCCAACGTGTTCAGCAGGTTCAGATGATAGATGTCTCTGCAGAAATTAGACTGACTTGAGTCGAGCCGATCCGAGTGAACGGCGACACACCTCCGTGAGATTTGCCTCGGTTTTGCACCTTGGACACGGAAGCGACACAAAAACCAGCGAGCAGGTGGCAGACGAGTGATTACTGCTGTAATTCCACCTCTGCACATTGATTGGCCATGTGAACTCCAGACTTTATTGCAAAATTAATTGCTCTGTTTACTTGTTTTAGTAATTCGAAATCCTTTCTACGTAGTTATGCATGTCTTCCATCTTTTTCCATGTTTTTAGAGTTTTTAGGTACTTTTTTTGTTGTTGTCACACATGTATTCCACCAGTACAAAGCCACATTTCACTTAACTTTATTTTAATTCGTGTTTTGAAGTATTGCATCAGAAAAGGTTGATGTAAACAGCAAAAGTTGAGAGAACTTGGCAAAAAGGATTTTATACCTCCTTGAGGTGGTTCTTCGCTTTTCCAAAAAATTGCTCACGTGCTAAAGGAGAGATGGAAGCACAGCTGCTAAATAAATCATGCTAGGTAAAAGTAGCAAGCTTTCACCTAGCATGACCAGCTCTTTCCACTGTTTCAGTGCTTTATAATTGTATTTCTTTCTAAACGCATGCGGACAGCACAGAACTTCACAGTTGACAAGACAGAACAGCTGCAACTGGTCCAATAGTAGCACAGTCCTGAAAACATAGCTCCATTTCTCTGAGATGTGTGCATCATGCTAGTTAGCAGCCTCTACTTCCTGTCTTATCGTAGCCATGTGCAGCGTCAACGTCTGACGAAGTTGCCTTGTTGATTTGCTCCAAATCAAAAACAAATCAAACGCGTCTAATTCTAATTTGCATTCTACTCTCATTTTCTGCAGCCGTTTGAACGTTCGCTCAAAATTTCTCTTCACAATTAGACAATAATGTGGCTGTTACGCATCATCTGCCTTGCTGCAGATTGAGACGCTGAATCTAGCAGCTAGTCGAGCAGCGGCAAAGATCAGAGCTGTCAGCCACCTTAAAACAACTCCAGAACTTTGAAAAACGCCAAAAGGAGTAGCAGATGTAAAACCTCTGGTAGAAAAAGGGAAGCAAAGAAAAATCAATAACAAAGCATTCATTAAATGTCTAACTTTTTTTTTTTGGCTTTGGCTTACTTTTATTTCAGAGATACTCTTACAGCATGTTCTTTATTTGATGCGTTTTCTGAGTGGGTTTCACAAACAAGGATCACTCATCAGATGAGGTGACACCAGAGGAGTGTCTGATCCCACGTACACACACAGAGGCTTCTGGGTAAAGCCCTGCAAACACATTCAGCGCTCTCCACTCTGCTGGTTCCGTGCCTTAAGGCAGTGCTTCTGAACCCGGGCCCTCGGGGGCCCCGCGGTCCTTTATGTTTCGGAGCTTTTTCCTGTTATGGCATAACTGATGCAAATGATTGTGCAACCCCATCAGCGCGTCGCCGAATGCTTTCAGAACCATGCAAAAATAAAAAATAAAAAATTCTCCATTAGTTTAAGTCAGGTATGTGGCAGAGGTGAAGTGCCCAGTACATGCAGGACAGTGGGCCCTGAGCTGCAGAGTTAACTTGGGGAAACCCTGAAATAGAGCCTTTAAACACCCCCTTGCATATTATGGGCTGCAGCAGTCTGTAGTAGTCTGCTCAGCAAAACTGGAGATACATCTGAACAGATTCCAAGATGTTTGGTTTATATGTAAAATATTTGAAATAAATTGTAATGAAACACTAATATTGATCTCTTGTAGCCTTAAATCACAGCAATGAGTCAGGAAAGGTCAAGGGAAGGACAGGGGGAGATGTACAGGAAAAGGACCCGGGACTGGGAACCGTAGACGGCCGTGTTACAAGCCTTTGCCTCACAGAAACGACAACTTTAATTCAAAGTTTGTACAAAGCCGTAAAAGATCCTAAATTTAGTTTGCATGGACCAGTCAAAGGATAAATATACCGTACATCGGCAAGCTGCTTTCCAAAAAAATAAATAAATAAAACAAATCTTAACACGTTCCACCACGATTGTTATTGTCCGTTTCACATTTGTGTTGAGCTAAAAAAAAAAAAAAAGAAGTTTGAATTAGGTTTCAAGTTTAAAAACAATGAAACACCATCTTAACTACAGACATCCGCCATAAATAAAGTGGATTTAGTTTTAGCTGACTAAGAACACACACACATATGATAAGAGAGCATATGGAAACATGTAGCTGTGATCTATAATAAGGTTGGCTTGTAGCAGGAATCACACCCTCTCAGTAAATTAGTGGCTGTGTGTTTTTACTTCCAGAGCTGGGCAACTTGAAGGCCAGGCTGAAAAAAAAAAAGTCTCTCTCCCATCACTCTGAAACGGGTGCGACACACCAAGGGTGTGGCCCCACCTCACCCTGCTGTTAGAGGGTGGAGCAGCCATGGTAAATGACAGATTGGTGCAGAATGGATTCAAGTGGTTGAACCACATGTGGTAATATCTAGGTGAACTAAATATAAGGCTGCAGAAGCAACAAACTTAGAAAGGAGTCGTCCAGGGTTTTTAAATGTCAGGTTGCCATTTGGAAGCATGTGATTTCTCTGCTTGAAAATCTGTATCACTGAAGGGAAAAGGGCAAAAAAAAAAAAACAAGCTCAGATCTCTGCGTTCGGTAATGAACCTCCAGTGCTGTTATCTGTCAGTTTCTATGTGGAGATCTGGGAGTGCAGGGAGGCCGCTCGCAGGCGCTCCAACACGGCACGATCAAGCGAAAGTTGTAGAGCCGTTCCTCACGTTTGCAGCTCACATTACAGCTCCGATTTGTTTATTTCGCAGGGCCTCAAATCAGCTGCTTCCCTCCCAGCAATTTCACAGTCAAGCAGGCCGGCTATGTCGACACGTACTGCTGGGATTCTCTGATGCACCACGAGTTTGACGGCGACGGGAACTTTGAGGAGCGCTCGCTCTGGGTGCACAAAGTGAGTGGAAAGCGTTTGACTGGGCTCCCTTGACTTGCTTCACCCATTTACCTCGACTGATAGACTGCGAGCACCAATACGCTGAAGCCCTTTTTTCTTTTCTTTCTTGCAAAAAAAAAAAAAAACTTCAGCTGAAAATGTCACCATACATTTTTAATGAGGACCTCATTTGCAAACGCAACAGAAAGTTCAAGTTCTAGTTTGTTTGAACTTGTTCCTGCCTCCTTATTGTTTCCTTGGCCCACTTCTGTCATCTTTCTCCCGTCGTCGTTTCAGATGTTTCCTTACTCTCTTTTGGCCATGGCCATCCTGATGTACCTGCCGGCTCTCATCTGGCGCCAGCTTGTCACGCCCACACTGGGCTCAGACCTCCTCTTCATAATAGATGAACTCGACAAGTCTTACAACCGATCGGTCCGACTGGCCCAAAGCATTCTGGACATGCAGCAGAATACAAAAAACCCGCTCACATTTCAGGCCGAGCTTCAAAGGTAAGACTTCTCCCTGGCTCTGCTCATGGCACAAACATTTGTTATTTTATATTGGCCTGTCAAAATTCTGCGTAGCTCTGTGGTCTTGCTTATAGCGACTACTAGCCCAACCTCATGAGTATTCATTCACCCCTCTGGAATCCTAATGATTCCAGAAAATGTTATTTTTATTGGAGTGGTAGAAAAACATACTGAGGCATTAAAAAAAGAAGAAGAAAAAAATACAGCAGAGAAGCTGTTGATGTCAGATATAATGGTGTCAACTGGAATATCTTGGTAAAGGAAATTTAATTTGGGAAGTGTAAATTTACAAATGTTCTGTATTGACTCAACCCTGGTAACATCAGTGCTGGAGATGCGGTGAGCAGCCAGTAGGTCATATCCACCAAGCCATGCTGCTTTGATGAAATTGTCAAAAAAAAAAAGATCACAGAACCCTGTTTTCCTATCTCATTTCTACCAAATATGACTTAATCTACAGACAGAAAACTGGCCACATTTTGAAACATAAAATATGTATTCTCCCATTATGCAAATCTATAAATAGTCTGGTTTCCATCAAGTTCTGCCAAGATGCAAGTGAGGACTAAACACATTTCTCTTTTATATTGGACAATTAATTTAGTTTGACACAATTGTCGCTGTAGGAGACACCGTTTGTACGTCGTTAAATATTAAGCATCAGCACCTACACGTTAAGGTTGTCCTACCTAAGCTGGCATGACTCACCTAAGTGACACGTCCTTGCTACTTTTTTCTTCAATTGCATTTTTTTTTTTTTTTACTCGACTTTGAAATGTGAAACACACGGACCTTGCTGTCTGGTAGTCGTAGAGTTCACAGTTAATGCGAAAACGTCCCTTTCTCAGACTCTTTGCTTGATTTTGTCTTTTTATCGACCGTCGATATTCCTGACTCATGATGTGTGTCACACGATAATCATGCCATGTCCAGTCCAGTAACATGTCAAAGCAGCATCTCGAGGACTATGATTGTGTTTGATAAAACACGCTGCTGTGTGAAAAGCGACGTCTTCCTGACTCTCTTCTTCTTGTCTATTTCCAGAGCCAAGCGGAAGAGATACTTTGAGTACCCCCTACTGGAGAGATACATGCAGTGCAAGCAAAAGTCTTACTTCCTCGTCAGCATGCTGTTTTTGCGGGGCTTCCTCCTCCTGACCTTTATGACCTCTGCCTGCCTGTATCTTGCCTACTTCCACCTTTCGGCCTTGCTGCAGGATGAGTTTAACTGCTTTGTTCGTACAGGCATGCTGCGGGATCAGAACTGGATTCCTGAACTGGTTCAGTGCAAGATGATTGGGCAGCTGGTCTTTCAGGTGATAAGTGTGGTCAACGGAGCGATCTACCTCCTGCTGGGACCCATCGTCCTTTTTAGCATTATTCGACTCTTTGTTTGGGACACTAGCTTCATCTCCGTGTATGAGGTCCTCCCGGCCCTGGACCTCATCAACCGCCGAAGACTAGGCTGCCCACTGAACGACCTCAACGTCCTCTTGCTGTTTTTGCGTGCCAATGTAGCTCACCTGAAGTCCTACGGGCAGGTGAGAGCTCTGTGCTCCCTTGCGCCGCCACAAGTGGGCAACGCAACAGCTGGGCAGGGCTTGAACGCAATGCTGACCCAAGAAGAAATAGAGGAACGCGAAGAAGCGGCGATGGAGCTCGCGGAAGAAATAGGGGAGGCCAAGGAGGAAGGAAAGCTCAACTTGGTGGACATCATGACTATTCTGGGAGCGGCTCAGGGACGAGTGGTGAACTGCAGTGAGAAGAAGCCCCTAATGGAAGAAAATTTGAGCCTGGGTACCACAACACTTATCTATACACTCAAACGCATACTACTAGCGTCCATTTTCACTTTCATCATCTGGGACGTGCAGAAAATCATTAAGTAATCTCCATAATGCTACTGCTGCTTACATGCTGCTTTTCATGTTGTTGTGTAAGGAGATTAAACGTAGGCGAGAGCAGCTCAAACTGTAGACAATTAACTCAAAATGAATGGTTTCTGTATTTTTTTTTTTTTAATCTCCGTTGCCTTTCTGTGTAAAACAGAAAGAGCTGTAGTATTTCTTTAACATGCAGAAGACATGGATTTGTGGTACTTCTTTGCCCTAACTGACCTCTCTGTTTCTTTACAGAGCCAAACCACCAGGGGTACCATGAGTTGAAGGAGACTGCACCATTTAGTCAGTACTAGACCTTCAATGGACTCAATCAATGTGATAGCGATGGGGGAGTGGGAGGGAGGTTTAAGAGGTTTGGGAGAAGAGAGGGTTGGACACCAGTTGGGCCTCAGCACTCTAGGAAAAAAAAAAAAAAGCCTCCTTTAGAATTTCAGGTCAAATAGTTCTGACTGGAAATGTCAATGGGATATGGATTTGTCAGGTTTTAGCTTCTGGGCATGTGTAGCTGCCACAGATCTTTCTTCTGTCTTTCAGCAGAGACCTTAATGTATTTTTAAAAAGTGTCAAAGGAAAGTTTGTGTGAAAAAAAAAAAAGTGGTTCTTGTAATTATGTTGCCAGGATGTCACTTGTCAGGAGAAAACACTTGTGAAGAGCTCAAGCTTTCTGCTTAGTCAGTATTTATTTGATGTCAAGAGACAAAACGCGTGTTAAGTGGAAACTGCTGTATGATTGTGGTGTTTGATTTTAGTTCATTTTCTGTGACATCCACTGTAACATTTATTAAGTATTACTTATACTCCGTGTTATGCACTTGCTTTTCTGTGACAGCTTGCTTTTATAACCTTTCTGTTATTTTCTTTTCACTTCAACATCAAATAAAGTTCTTGGTATCTGTAATTTTTTAAAAATATATAAACATAAAGAAATTAGTGTAATTTTTATTTTATTTTTTTTTTTTACTAATGTTGTCAATCAACCGATATGAAATGTCACACTGCCTAAATCTAACAGTGTGGAAAAAAAATATGTCCGAGGGATGAGTGGTGAGTGACAAGGATATTTGGAAAGAAATGATCAGAAACAAAGTTAGAAGATCAGGAACAAGAAGAGCAACCAGACGGTCCTGGGTATGAATCTTTCCCTGAGGTCTCTCTGCATGTAGTTTGTATATATATATATATTTTTTTGTCTGTGTGTGTGTGTGTGGGGGGTCTCTTTGGCGTAATCACACACACAGTTCAGTTTATTTATATAATGTCAACTCACGACACATCATCTTGAGGCGTTTTACCAAAATAAAGTCTTACATACGTTCCATTTGCTCCTACTTATCCAACAGTGCATTAAGTTTGGTTCACTATTCAAATTAGTTAAAAAAAAAAAAAAGTTTTCTGCCTAAGGAAACTCGGCAGATTGCATCAAGTCGTTCACTTCTCCTGGACAGTCTGGAAACATGGCTGTTCAGTTAATTGGTCTATCTAAATTGTCCTTAAGTATGAGCGTGGGCGCGCCTGGTTGTTTTGTCTTGTGTCTCGATGTTGCTCTGTAATGGACTAGTGGCCTGTCAAGGCTGAACTCCACCTCTCTCCCAGTGACCGCTGGAGAAAAGTCCTGGCATCATCACTATGACCCTACAAGAATAACCAGGTGTAGAAAAAGGATGGGCAGGTGATAAAAAAAAACCAACAAAAAAAATCCTCCTATTATCTGTCTCACCTCTTTCTGACACTTTGATCTTTTCCAATATGTTTATATTTAGGAATAGCTCCGTCAGGATGTTTTTATTGTTACAATTGACTGAGATCCTGATCCAGTTCCGGTCAGCAGTCTCCGTTTGCCGGTATCTGACAGAAGTGTCCGCAGAACCTTTTCTTTCTAAAGATATAGCCACCTTGATGAGTACAGCTGTCACCTCATTCCAGGAGCTGAGAGAGACTTTTAAATGTGTTGACTTTTTTTTTTGTTCCCTGTCATAAAAGTTAATTAAAGTAGCAGAATTTATGAGTGCAGGAAACTCTTCATAATACAAACTGACGATAAAGCATCCCCCTCATCCCAGACGATGGAGTTGTGTTCTTGTCAAGTCCCATTCCTGACAAGAATTGCTGTGAAGATTTGATGGCAGTGATATATAGCTATCACGTCTGAGCTAGCAGGTTGATGGGGCTCTCTCTCTCTCTCTCTCTCTCTCTCTCTCTCTCTCTCTCTCTCTCTCTCTGAGAGTTTCACACACAAGCAGTGCCCATTTTTATCTGTGCTCTGTTTTGTTGTTTTTCTCCAATCAGCCAATATCCTGTGTTATATTCTGGCTCACACAGATATCCTCTTATCTCCCCAGAAACAGACAAGTCATCTTCACTGTCCTGATCACTCACTCTTACAGTCTCTCAGTTCTGGAGATTTATTTTGTGAAATGACAGTGTCAGCTGTTCGGCGAAAACGAACAAACTAAATGTAGCAGTCTCTCACTTTTTACTCCACTGTAGCCTCGGTGTATATAAAGGTTCAAACTGCTGATGACTTCTTCACAAAGCATTATTTCAAACAGTCCAGTTTGGTTTTTAAACGTCTTCAGGGTCCATATAGTGTGTCACAAGTTCAGAGCTGCCCTTCCATTTGGTAGTTCAGTGATTTAGGCCCTATTTCACCTCGTCCAACCTTTTATTTCATTGTGTGTAATGTAAGATGGAAAAAAAAGTGCTGTCAGAATGTGTGAATATGCCTCATTGTGACAAACTCTTAAAGTGGTGAGTGAAAAAAAAAAAAACACATAAATGTAGCTGAGCACCCGTCAAGCTAATGGACGTTCAGCGTCTGGCTTTACATTTGTACCACGTTCTTTTGCGGTGTAACGCAAACCAACTCAGGGTTTAAGAACCACTCTTGGTGGTGCAGATCAACACAGTGACTTATGAATTATGGTGCTCTATCCTGAAGATGAACACTCTACGGTCATTAAGGAAAGGACAAGATTAGCAAAGACATTAATGCAGGCGGAGCATTCACCGGATGTTCATTTGGTACTAAGTGACCTAATGTGTGTCAATACAAGTACACCAAATGCAGCCCTCTGAAATGATATATGCTGGTTCAACACTTTGTCGGTATTCAGGAAACCTCATGTTTGAGCTGCTATTGGCTCTGAAAACAAAGTGTCCCCTTTTCAAACCATTTTCTGGGCGAAAACCTCAGTAGATTAGACCAGCCTCTCTGGCACCAACAACCACGCCGCCCTTCAAAGTCACATTCTTGCTCTTTCTGAGGTTTAGTTAAGTTGTCTTCCTCACATCTAATTACCTAAATGCATTAAGGAGCTATCCTGTGTTTGAATTATTTGCCATTCCTGTGAGGTATCAAGTAAAATATCCAGACAGTGCATGTTAGCGGCCTTTATTCACTCCACATTTTCTCTTGACTTCAACAATAGCTAAACTTTAAAGCAGGCGGATAGCCGCTGATATACTTTCTATCAAAAGCAGGGCATGCCACCTCCTGTTCTCCGCCCTTCATCTGGCACACAGTAAGATACAGGCGGCGGGGTTATGATAATGAATATTCCCAGCCATGTATTATGAATTGAGGGCAGTCTTAATTCAAAGCTTAACACAAAGGCAATCTCACAGGCCTCTGCTCTCTGCTGTATCTGATGCAGCTGCTGCGCTCGGGCCACTTGAGGGCATCATTGAATCACGCCTAAGTGAGACCGTCGTCATTGTTTGGATGCCCACAACGTACTAATTTAGAGCAGCTTCACAACCGAGCCTGCTGATGATATTTATAATTCCTGTAATCAAAACCGAGGAGACTGCCATCCTGCTTCAAATGAGACTTATCAGACGTTCAGCAGGTCCCCGTCTCCGCGGCCGGTCTGTTAAAGCCTCTCTGTCGCAGCCAGATTCAAGCAGTCGTTATGTGTGAGGATGCCGGGCTGGCGTTGGCTGGAGCCTTGCCTTTCTGGAACGGAGAAGTCACTGGCAAGTCTTCGCTTTGTCAGCAGGCTGGACATCAATTTCCCCCTGTTTTAGCTCTGCACAGCTCAAAATGGCTGGCACAGTGCTCACACTTTAAAGAGGTGTTTGACCGAGAGAAATGAGAGACCAAAGGCATCCAAAGCCTCCTGTTCAACGCCCCCCTGTTTGCAAACACGATAGCAATGTTGTTACAGGGTTAGCACAGATGGCTTCGTGCTAGCTCTACAGGCTGCATGAGGCGGAGACGGTGAAACGATGATTGTTGACCAACTACTTGTGTCAGGACTGGTCCTGTTGTGATTCTTCTGGTTAAAAAAAGAAGCTGTAATGCGATAACAGTAAATAAAGAAACTGTTCTGGGCATTTTATAAGTAATGAAACTAATCACATAACTTTTCAATATAAGATTTCTGAGATTTATGCATACAATTTTTTTAAAGTGTTGGTTAGATGACCACTGTTTGCTTCTTGAATTATTGCACACTGATCTAACAACCAAATGCACTTCACAGTAGTTATTTAAATAATAGTTATTCATACCTTAAATTATGAATTCACACATCTAAGCCACTGGGTAATATGCTAACTAAAGACATATTATTATATATTAACATTTTTACATAAAGTATTTTTGAATTTGAATAGTACAAGGACCTCAAATTGGCCCTTACAACCTCAGTCAAAGAGCTGTGGAGCGCAGATCCTTGAATGAATGGAGTTGATGAGCGTTGACTACACACTTCACTATATTTACACTGATCAAACGGCACAAACAGCTGCAATTAGTGTTTTATTTTCAACAAATGCAATCCTATTTATGAATTTTTACAATGTCACAGAAAGCTACTACATTTTCAACATTTTCAAAGGAGTTTTTTTTAACTGCAGTAACATGAAATATTACGATCGGCAAAAACAAAGTCCGAAAAAATGGTGGCGTATTACAACAACATTGGCATGTTGTTGTAATATTGCCTTTATAACATTTAAAATGGCCAAAGCAGGTTAATGTAATATTGGAGTGCTGAAACATTTTTGAGTTCCCATACAGTCCACTGCAGTGGAGTCCCGTGTCCACATTTTGCTCGTTTCATAATTTAACTTAATTTAATTTGAACGTCACAGCCAGGATATTGTCGGGCTGTACTGCCTTAAAAGACTTCAGAGTTGGAGTATATTTATTGCTTAACACTGGATGCAGTATTTGTTGCTGGCTGTTATAACACTGGACAAAAGTGCACAGGATACACTTCTTTCTTCATCATGTAACTCACTGTCTACCAGAGATCTCCCTGTTTGATAAGAATTGTTCATGTAAGAGTTGTGTCTGGGCAGAGGTTAGCTTGAAACGAGCAATTTGAATATTATCTGTTTATTTCACTGCGTTTTGTTTTTCACAGGACTGTAAATCCTTCAAACTGCCGGGGCATAACCAGACCATACAGCGTGTGGTATAAACAGTGTTTTATAAGGTTATTGAGTGATTAAGAGTCCTTCTGATTATGCAACGTGACTCCATTTTCCCAAAGTCCTTCTTCTGTTTCCACCATATTGTTGGTTAAGGTGCTTTGGACTTTTAAAGAGACTGTTGAAAACAGCAAAAACTAGCTTACTGACGTCTGCTGAGCCACTGCCCACTGCTCCATTCAGTTCTTGCTTGCAGGTCAGTCTGGGCTGCCTCCTATTGACTTGAATTCCTTTGACAGAATTTCAACCGGGCCGCTCAGCGAACAGAAAGAGAAGTTGTGAAGGACGACTGATTTTCTGTGCCGTTTTAGAATCGCAGTCTGCCTGTAGCTGTAGCAATGACAGCAGTGGAAGTGAATGAAGCCGCTCAGTCGGTGTCGGCCACGCTTCCGAATATTGAATTAACATTAACAGCCGCCTCGTTTGTCTCGACGCTTCTGTCTTCGCGGTGGAGGACGGTTGTTTATAGTGCTGGTAATTTCCGGCAAGCTTCATAGCGTCGAACTGGCACGTTACATAAATCACCACCAAATGTGAGCGACTGGGTAAAATTTAAAACCTCGACACCGTCTACTCC